GCCCAGGCACCCACTCTCACACTTCTGCCCTCCGCCCACTTTGCAAATCTGTAAGTGCATTAAGGATGCTCCCACCTCAGAACATTTGCACATGTTATCCCTCTGCCCATAATGGTATCCCCTTTCCTGTGTCCGCATGGCACATCCCCAAGTGGCCTTCTTAAAGTCTCTTACCACATCCCCAAAAAGTCCACCCTATCAAATACAACAGCCCTGTCACTCTCTCACCCTTTACTCTGCTTATTTTTCCTCATAGCCCTTATGACTATTTGACATGTTACTATATGTCACTCTTTATAATGAAAATCTAACCTCTAGGAGAGCTGAAAGTTTGCCCTTTTCACTGTTGTTTCCCTAATTCCAAGAACAATGCCTTGTACGCAGTAAGTACCCAGTAAACATACTGAATGAATGAATGAATGAATGGGCCCCCAAATGCCTAGACAGGATGTGAATCTTTTGAGAAGAAGCTCTGAGAGATCGACAGAGAAAAGATGCTGTCTGAGGTCTCCAGGCCCGGAGGTAGAGCTTGTTAGGGGGGTTGGGGTGGGGGTGGGGGGCTGAACAATTAGGGCACAAGGATGCCAAGATACCAGAGGTGAGGTAAGAAAATGCAGAAACCCGGGGCGCCTGGGTGGCTCAGTCAGTTAAGCCTCCCATATCGGCTCAGGTCATGAACTCGTGGTTCGTGAGTTCAAGCCCTGCATAGGGCTCTGTGCTGACAGCTCAGAGCCTGGAGCCTGCTTCAGATGCTGTGTCTCCCTCTCTCTCTCTCTGCCCCTCCCTTCTACTCTGTCTCCCTTCTTTCAAAAATAAATAAAGACTAAAAAAAAAAAAAAAGAAAAAAAAAAGAAAATGCAGAAACCCGACTACCATGCAAATGTTAAGTTTTCATGGTACCTCCAATGATACCTTTCTCCTGCAGTGCTCAGTTCTGCCTGCCTGAAATTGTTTATCCCTGTCATACCCACCACTACTGAGGGTTCGTGAGAAGGGTGTCACTATTATCCTGCAGTGAGGGGCAATGAGGGAAAAGGGTGTGTGAGGAATTTCAGGGGGAGAGGCTGTGTACAGTGTGGGATGGGAAAGGCAACCAGAGTGAAGGGCTGACCCTCATCAGGGTTCTGTTCCACTCAGATCGGTTTTCTTTTGGCTTATCTCCGTCGCCAATTCCTAGCAACTGTTTGTGGTTTCCTATTTAAAATGACGAAAGGTAACACAAACATATGGGGGGTTGGGGAAGAAGCAACTTCAAGACCACAGATAGCCACAGTCCAGTGATATAAATATCATGCTGAAGTTCTTTCTAAATATCTGGAAAGGACTCCTTACACACATAGACACTGAAATGGTGTCATGGTTAATCTTTCTGAATAATTCAGAGTGGCCAGATAGTCCAACAAATCCCTAACTGAAACGTTTTATAAATCTTACAGGAGTCCCAAGACTCAAACACCAACCTCTATGATAGTAGTCAAGTATGGTTTCTTATGACTATCTCACGAGTTCTGGCTTCTAAGTAATAATGATAATAGCTAATATTTATTTAGCACGAGTTATGTTTGAACTTGTCTGAACTCGTTGTGTGCAAACTCTAACACAGGTGCAATGTGCTAAGAGCCCCGTTTGCCTAAGGGAAGTGGAGCGCCAGAGGAAGGAGCCGATTTATTGAAAGATTACTCAACAAATCGGTATAGGAGGCTGCATCAAGGTTGGGTCTTCTAGCTCCCGACTCTTTATGAAATCTTGACCTTGCCTTGGTAACATTACAACAGGGCCAAACACGACCAGGAGTGGAATTTGCAAACAAGCCTAGGTGACCTTTTGTACAAATATGTGCTAGATTATGAGAAAAAAAAATAAGTTTCTACCAGTAAAAATAATGGGTGGAGCACAGTTGTGCATTTTCTTATAAAACTAAAAATACTTTTACCACGTGATACTACACTCCTTGGTATTTACCCCAATGAGCTAAAAACTTCCATCCATACAAAAACCTGCACATGAATGTTTATGTTAGTTTTATTCATAATTGCCAAAACTCAGAAGTAACCAAGATGTTCTTCACTAGGTGAGTGGATAAATAGACAAGAGTATAGTCATCCAATGGGACATTCAGCAGTAAAAAGAAATGAGCAATAAAGCCACAAGACATGAAGGAAACTTATATGCAAATTACTAAGTGAAAGAAGCCAATCTGAAAAGACAACCTACTGTATGATTCCAAGTACGTGACATTCTGGAAATGGCAAAACTATGACAGCAGTATGAAGATCAATGGTGGCCCAGGGTTTGGGAGGGGAAGTGGGGAATAGGCAGAGCACAGAGAATTTTTAGGCAGCAAAACCATTCTGCGCAGAACTATGCAGGTAGGTATGTGTCATTACACATTTGTCAGGCCCACAGAATGGACATCTCCAAGAATGAACCCTAACATAAGTACGGACTTCGGGTGATGTGTCAGTATCAGTTCTACCAACTGTACCACATTGGTGTGGAGAGGCTGAGGAGAGGTATGTGGGGGTCTCTGTACTCTCTGCTTAATGTTGCTGTGAACTACTCCAATAAATAAATAAAGCCCATTCATTACAAAGAAAAAGTGACAGGTAAGCCTGTGAGGGTGGTGTTGAGGGCAGCTGTAGAGCTGAGCAGCGTAGAAAGAGAGAATCCAAGAGCATGTCCCCAGCCTTGTGCTCGCCCTCGAGGCAGCGAGGGTGTACGATGCACATCCAAGTGACCTGAGCACCTCCTACGTTCCTGTCACAATGACATCCCACAGTGCTGCTCAGCACTCTTGCACTGGAATTTTGGCTCGGAGAAAATCAACGATTTCTTGCTGCAGGGCACCAACTAGAAAGTGGCAAAGTGCAGGTTCAAATGCTGCTCTCAGGTAAATCCATTTCTCCTCTCTAAGTTAGGGTAAAAACAGCGCTGGGAAGGTAAAAACCGTGATGCAGAAAGGTTTGCTTTACTAAGTATATCTTGCTCCAGAATCAACTTTGTGCATAAGCATACAGAGCCAGACATAACCATGAACTGAGTCTGTGGATGGAGGGAAAACATAAAACCACCTCGACAGCATGATTGTTTCTTTACCTGACCATTAAAAGAAAAGTAAGAAGCTGGGGGTGGGGGGGGAGGGTAGAAGAATCAATAGTGAATCATGATTACCATCCAGACTGATGGCCTTGCTAGAATTTCCCATACTGAGGACAGAAGGCCATTTGTAGTGAACAAGCAGAGTCCGGGAGTCTCCCCGGGGAGTCAGTCACTGGCTCTGTGATGGTGAGAAAGGAAAGCCTCTAAGGCTCGAGAGTCAGGCCACAGAAGATTGCCTCACAGCCCCGAGACACTGGGGGGAGTGGCCCAGGCCCCGGGAAATCTGGCTCGATCGTCACGGCACCACTGGGAAGCTGGAAAGCAGGCCTCATTGGCAGGGTTTACTGATGGGGGGCTGGAGAGGCCACAAGGTACAGAAATGCAGAGGGGCAGGAAAGCCAGCAGCAGGAGAAGCCAGAGTGGAAAGCTTAGTGTTCTCCAGAACTAGGGCTTAACCACAGTGCCTCTATTTGACAGCAGCCAGGCTGAGGACCCTGTCCAGCTCCAACTTCTTGGCACCCTCGCTGCACTGACTTCCATCCTTTAAAGGTGTATCACACATGTTGCAAGATGTCCCGTGTAACTTCAACTACTACAGGTTTCTCCACCCACAGGATGGACAGTCTTTCTTGGCCAACAGCAAATCTCAGGTCTCCAAAGATGCCAAGTGACCCACTGTCCTGAGGCCCATCTTCCAACGGAAGGCCAAATAGGAGGGAGGCAGAGCCCTCGCAGCTCCCTACAATGGGCATTTCCGGGCAGCAGAACCTCCCTCCACAGTGCTGGTTGTCCTGCTGGGAGAAACCGGTCCCTCTCGGGATGTCCTGGCCGGCATTTGATGTAGTTTAGTTCCCCAGACCTCTCTAGACCCAGGCAGGCTTACCAAGTCTCCTTTCTTGTCTACCGTGGATCCTGGGTCTAGGGCCCATCTTCCCCACCTCTTTCCGGTCACACCTATCTCCTTCTTCTGTCTCCAAGCCTGGCTGGAGAAAGAGAAAATCTCCTACCTCCCTATTTCCTTGCTGTCCCAGGAAAACAAAGGCTTTACTCCTTACTGCTGCAGGAGAACAGAAGGAGGCAACACCCACCCACACCCACCCACACCCACAAACATACTCACACGCTTTCAGCACCTTATAAAGCTCCCATCTTACTGTCTTTAGTCTGACTTTCAGCTCCTTTCCCAAAAGGTAATTATAGATCTCGTTTGGACTTTCTCTTCTATTTTTATTCTAAGAGTGCTCATGTAAAATCTTTCTTATTTTGACCCAAACTTTTCCAAAGATGATGTAGAGCCCGTATTCCCACGTGGTCCCTAAAGAGGCAATCAAGATAAAAATGTTAATTACTGTTGGTTGATATAAGATAGTTTATGCTAGGCACTGTTAAAAGATGGTTTAATGTGGGGCACCTGGGTGGCTCAGTTAGTTAAGTGACCGCCTCTTGATTTCTGCTCAGGTCACAATCTCATGGTTTCCTGAGTTCAAGCCCTGCCTGGGCAAAGCTGGCTTGAGATTCTCTCTCTTCCTCTGCCCCTCCCCCTCTCGTAAATAAATAAACTTAAAAAAAAAAAATCTTGGTTTAATGCAGGGTGCCTGGCTGGCTCAGTGAGTAGAGCATTTGAGTCTTGATTTCAGGGTGCTGAGTTCAAGCCCCAACATGGGTGTAGAGCCTACATAAAAGAAAAAAGAAGATGGTTTAATGCATTAGCTAATAAAGGCCTCACAGCAATCTGTCAGGTGGGCACAGTATTCCATTTTACAGAGGAGGGCTCTGGGCTCTGACAGCGTGGATTAACTTCTCAAGTTCCCAAAACCTCTAGTGAACGACAGAGCTAGGATTTGAATCTGGTTGATGCCAAACCTAATCTTTTTAACCACAAGCTCAGAGATGCAAATGAATCAGGAACTTTCAGCAGCATTTTGGGAGAGCTCTGTCAGAAACATTATAGCATTTTGGAAAACCGACTTTGGCCCATATCTCCAATGATTGTTAACAGTGTCAAGTGGTGGCACCTCTGAGGCAACCAGGAAGGACTGGGAGGGACCAGAGGAAGCAAGATCCGGGGGCCGTTCAAGGACTCTGAGCTGCGGACGCCATAGCACGATGACAGATTGCAGGACTCTGATACCCAGCATTGTCCTGGGGCAGGACCAGCCTCGGGGTCTGGGATTGTGTGCACTGTGACCACAGACAGGCGAGTCTTGGCCCAGGCACGGGCAGTCGACTCCTGTGACTCCTGTTCCCAGGACGATGACGACGGCCCATGTCTGCCAGCTGGGTGGAGATTCCGCGCAGAACTCCCTCCAGGCGCTGAGCTCCCCCTTGTCCGGCGAGGCGGGCTCCGTGTGGTCCACAGCAGCCCGGTCCTGCCCGCGCTTCCACAGCTCGTAGCGCTCAGGCTGCAGGATGCGCACGAAGGCGTCCATGGAGAAGGTGACCCTGGCCTCCCCGCAGCTGCACTGAGATGCCACTTTGCCATAATCGATCCATCGCGGGGTGGCGAAGTTGATGGCTTCTGCGCAGTTGAAGCAGTGGTTGAAACCAGAGTGTAGCCATAGGGAAACGTCACCATGAACTCGCCGGCCTCCTGAGTGATCCGACTGAAGGGGATCCCGTTGTCCTTGAGGAAAGTGGGGGAGATGAGAGCCACCTTGTGCTGCAGGAAGGCGTCACAGGCGCGGGCACTGCCCGGGAACAGCTGGGCGGCCAGGCGCTCCAGGCACTCGCCATGCTCTGGCGGTACCACGTACCAAGTTTTGGGCTCCCCGAAGTGCAGGTAGTTGATGCTGTAAAGGTCCATGTCCTCCGTGTGCCAGGCGAAGGTGGTCTTCCACATGCCAAAGTACAGGTAGGGCGTGTTGACGCCCTCGACGACCACGCCGCACTCTCCAGCAGGTCCTGGATGGTTCCCAGGTGTCAGCGTTTTGATCACATAAAGGACCATTGATTTCTAATGCCATAATTTGGTCATATGTATAACCGTGTCTTCAAGTATTTTGGCTCCAAATCTTATGCCTGGATCTGACATGAGCTCCCCCCCTTCCCCCCCCCACCCCCCCGCCCCCGCCTCCCGTGAAAGATGCTCTCCCACAGCCAGGTCTGTTCCTTTGGCCTATTTTGTAAACACGCTCCCGGATCCCCGCTCTCTCGCCCCCTGCTGGAAAGGAGTGGCTATTGCAGTGGTATCAGACACCTGGTTTTCCATTTCTTAGCCAGGCCTGTTCCGTCCCTGTCTTTGGACTCCATGGAGGCAACGTTATTTCTGAAATGTTTAACTTTGTTTTCACTACTGGATAAAATGTCATTATTGTAAACCTTAGGTTCTAGATGCCACATCCCGCGATGGTCTGGTTTTAAATTAATAAGCATCGAAGCCCCAAATCCCAAGGTCTGTTCTGGACATAGCTGAAATTGTTGAGGATTCACCTGCAATCACAACCATATAAACATATATATTTATTGCTACCATGATAAAACCTCTCATATATGTGACACACCACCACCACTTCTAACCTGAACTCTTTAGGCGACTAAAATTGTAAGACTACCTCCCAACTTGCCAATTCATTCAGGAACTAAATTCTACTTTCAGTGGTTCTTGCACAAGGGAAATGGGATATTTTTTTGACCAATATTTCAATCAAAACATATTGTTGAAGATAGATGTAATTGAAAGGATAACTTTTTTATACAATCAGCTCCAATATAATTCCACTGTCAGCAGATCAATCAGACTCCACTGCTAGTAACCTTAGTTTGTTATCATTCCACTAAACTGAAACCTATATTGGATCAAAACCTGTGTTTGAAACCTGACTGTGGAAAGATGCAAAAACCCAATGCCTCAATAGTCTGAAGATTTGATAAAATTTTTAAAAATTGATTTTTAATGTTTATTTATTTTGAGAGAGAGGGAGAGACAAAGAGCAAGCAGGGGAGGGGTAGAGAGAGAGGGAGACACAGAATACAAAGCAGGCTCCAGGCTCCCAGCGGTCAGCAAAGAGCCCGACACAAGGCTTGAACTCACCAACGGTGAAATCATGACCTGAGCTGAAGTCAGAGGCTTAACCGACTGAGCCACCCAGGCGGCCCAAAAATGTTTTTAATCGCTAAAATAAAAAGTAAAGATTTAAAAATTTTAAACTAAATTTCAAATATAAATAGTTCTTTCCTATCGCTTCTCAGCCTTTTGGCTAAGATCAAGTGTAAATAGTTCTTTCCTTAATCTCGTTTGCATTTGTTTGTTTTTAAGAACAAGGGTAGAGAAGTAAATAGGTAATTGCCCAATAATATGCAATCCTGATTTCACATGAGCATTTTCTAAGATCCAGAAATATGTTCTCCCCCTTGAATGCAACCTCAAAATGAAAGAGCATGAATTGGTAGCTCTACGTATTCCATCAAAATTGAATTCACTCAGCAGAATTATTATCTAATCCCTCAATATCTTCCAGAATTATTCATGTCCAAGTCTGGTCTACTCCTTTAGTTTCCCATAAAATGAAGACTTGGCCTGATAACAATCTATCTTTAAAACTTTTAACATGACAACATAGCAAAACTAGCTATCATTCATGAGATAATTACTATATATATATAATTTAATTATATATATTTATTTTAAATGTTTATTTTTTTTGAGAGAGAGAGAGAGCATGTGTGGGGTAGGGGCAGAGAGACAAGTAGAGAGAGAATCTCAAGCAGCCTCTTGTTCCGCACGGAGCCCAGAGTGGGGCTTGATCCGGTGACCTCGAGATCATGACCTGAGTCAATATCAGGAGTCAGATGCTTAAGTGACTGAGCCACCCGGCCACCTCTATATATATTCATTTTTAATCTAGGAGTAATGGAAACTATATCACAATTTCCAATGTAAAAATAGCACTGTCCCCACAACTGAAAAACAAAAGCTTTAAACTTTTAACAGAGAAAGTTCTCCCTTTCTATCAATTTCACATATTTAACAAGAAAAGAGGAACAGAATAATATATAGCCTGTCTTACACTGACCTGAAATCCTGATTTCAAATGAGAGAATCCCAGCCCCATAAAGCACTTTCTTACTGGAACCATCCTCAGAATGAAAAGGAATGGGCTGATAAGCCAATAACATTTTACTTGTTCTATTTTTATGTTTTAAGTAAACTCTACGCCCAAAGAGGGGCTTGAAGTCAAGACCCTGAGATCAAGAGTCATATGCTCTGCCCACTCAGCCAGCCAGGTGCCCTTCAATCAGCTATATCCTAATCCAATCCCATGGCTCCTCACTGTAATTCAAGACAGAATTAAAATTAAAAGCCACAGAAAGGTAGAAACATAAAGATGTAGAGAAACTTTTAGTCAGGAAAGAGGAAAAACTCTAGCTAGATAATCTCATTAAATCATTGACTCAAATAAACATGAACTGAGTGGCTACAATGCTTAAGGAATCAAGATAGTATTAATGGATAATACAAAAATGAATCAAGTCTTAGACCTTCCTGAAAAGATGTTTATTTCCATGGGAAGATAAGACAAGTGCAGAACTAGCACTAATTGGCAAGCTGACCCTAATATTTACTAAATGGTGACCTCCAACTTTTTATCCAACTTTTCTATAATTTTATTTTTTCATTTATATGATGAGAATAACAATAGGGTGATGCTTGGTGTGTATGGCTCCCGGCATATTGTCTGTGCTCAATTAAGTGTTGTAGAGTGTTACAAGAAGTTCAGAGGAGAGAGGTCTGGGATCGTTTTGGGAACCTTCATCAGTAAGCAGGGATTAAAGTCATCTGCCAAAAGTGGAGGAATGATAAAATGAAACTTCTGGAAACAGTTGCAAGTTTAAAATACAGTAGACCTTTGAACAATTCCCGTGTTAGGGGTGATAATGCCCCACAGAGTTCAAATCTGTGTATAACTTTTGATTCCCTCAGAACTCAACGACTAATAGCCTACTGTTGACCAGAAGCCTTACTGATAACATAAACAGCCAATTAACACATATTGTATGTTATTTTTTATATACTGAATTCTTACAAAAAATAGAGTAAAGAAAATGTTATTAAGAGAATCAAAAGAAAGAGAAAATTCATTCCCAGTACTGTACTGTATTTCTTGGAACGAATCCACATACCAGTAGACTCTCGAAGTTCAAACCCGTGTTGTTCGGGGTCAGTTGTACTGGCTGCATGTGGGTGACCACTGACATAAACAAGAAAAACATAAAAGATCACAAGAGCTATATTTTCTTTTCATTTTTATAGTTTTATTTATTTATTTTGAAAGAGAGAGAGAGGGAGAGAATCCCAAGCTGACAGGGTGGAGCCTGATTCAAGGCTTGATCTCATGGAACTATGAGATTATGCATGACATGAGCTATAAGCAAGAGGCCAGATGCTTGGGGCACCTGGGTAGCTTAGTCAGTTAAGTGTCTGACTTTGACTCAGGTCATGATCTCGTAGCTCATGAGTTCTAGCGTGGAGCCAGGAGCCTGCTTTGATTTCTGTGTCTCCCTCTCTCTATGCTTGTCCCCTGTTCGCACTCAGCCTCTCTCTGTCTCTCAAAAATAAACAAAACATTAAAACAAAAAAAGAGTCAGTAGCTTAATACACTAAGTCATTCAGGTGCCCTGGTCACAAGAGTTTCCTTAACATCATTCAGCAAACTGATCTCTCAGTTCCTTCACCTCCTCCCCTTTATTAAATGGTCTTTATCTTCATCCCAACTTAGCAACCCTGAAATTTCACCTTTTCTAAAATCTTGACATTAAGAATTTTTAACCAATGCTGACTACCTTTTCAGTTTGCGTAAAATATACCCAACCATTTTTTTTTTTTACCTAATTGAAAATCCCCAAATATTTGGCTCTCTAAGTTCTCTCCTTTTTGCTACTCATTTTAGATGAGCAAACAAGTTTTGATTGAATTCTCCCAAGAATTAAAATCTGGGATGCACAGAGTCCTCTTAGAGTAGAGTAAGAGAGAAAAAGAAAGCTTTAAATAGCTTCTTCTTTGGGTTTCCAGGTATTTAATCATACTTACTTTAAAAAAAAAATTTTAATGTTTAGTTATTTTTGAGACAGACACACAGAGTGTGAGCAAGGGAGGGGCAGAGAGAGAGGGAGACACAGAATTTGAAGCAGTCTCCAGGCTTTGAGCTGTCAGCCCAGAGCCCAATGGGGGGCTTGAACTCAACAACAGTGAGCTCATGACCTGAGCTGAAGTCGGATGCTTAACTGACTAAGCCATCCAGGTGCCCTAATCATACTCACTTAAAAAAAAAAAAGAAAAGACAAGTATTACAGTTCTAATATTTTGCATTGGTTAATAGCACTAAGTCTATTTTAATTACTGGTAGAAATGTCTCAAATATGTCTACCTTAAGTAAAATGCTGGTTTTGGTGCTAAAATAGCTAACAAGCTAGAGGATGTTTTCATTTTAAAGAAGTATTATTCATTGATTCTTACATGGGGGTGTGGTTAGAACAAGACTGAGGCGCACCTGGGTGGCTCCGTAGGTTGAACATCTGATTCTTGATTTCAGCTCAGGTTATATGATCCCAGGGTTGTGGAATCGAGACTTGTGCTGAGCATGGAGACTGCTTAAGATTCTCTCTCTCCGTTTGCCTCGTTCTCCCTGCTCTAATACATGTGCACTCTCTCTCTCTAAAACAAACAAACAAACAAATAAATAAAACAAGACTGAGTGTTGTATTTTGTCAAATGCATATCGGCATTTATGAAAATTGTCATTTAACTTTTCTTCTTGGATCTATTAAGGTGAGTTATATCACTAGATATTCTTAGTTTAAACCATCATTACCTGCCTGCAATAAACCCCATTTAGACATGGTGTTATTTTCATAATGTAGTTATATTGTCTTAGCTAATTTTAATGAAAAACTTTTGCATAGATGTTCATAAATAATGTCTATTATTTTCTCTCATTATGCAATTTATTAGATTTTTCTATCAATATGTTTGCCTTCAAACTTTGAACTTTTTCTTCTTTTTGAATGCCTGAAGATATATGGAAATGCCTGCTTTGTAAAGGTCTCACAGTTACACTGTGGAAAATTGTCTGGTAATAGTGATTTTTAAGGAGGCAGATTTTTTGACGTTTCTATATTTCCTACCTAGAAATGTATGTCTTAGATTTTCTTTCTTTTCTGAAATACGTTTCAATTATTTTTTCCTAGAAAATCATCCATGTTATCTGATCTTTCTGTAGATTTATTAGATATATTATTTTATATTTTTTCTAAGTCATCAGTTAATGTCTTTACAAATACCTTCCTGGTACTTTCTTCATTTTTTTCCCTAACTTTATGAGACAGAAGCTTAAACCAGTTAATTTTATTCTTCCAATTTTATCAATAAAAATTCATAAGGCTCTAAATTTTCCTTAATATTATTTTAACTGAATGTCATAGATTCCTATGTGTATTTAATTCATTTTTAAATCTAATAACACTCCAATAATGCTTTTTAGGTCCCAGGCTTCCACTTAGTACTTTTTAAAAAAACGTTTATTTATTTGAAAGAGAGAGAAAGAGAGCAGGGGAGGCGCAGAGAGAGAGGAAGACACAGACTCGGAAGCAAGCTCCAGGCTCCGAGCTGTCAGCACAGAACCCATCTCGGGGCTTGAGCCCACGAACCATGAGATCATGACCTGAGCTGAAGTCAAACGTTTAACCAACTGAGCCACCCAGGCTCCCCTCCACTTAGTACGTTGTAAGTATTAAGTAATAGAACCGTCATACCAATTATATGAGGTAGATGCTATTCCTCTCCCTGTTTTACAGTTGAAGAAATTGAGTCACCACCATGAAGTAACTTGCTTAGATCACAAATAGTGTTAAGAGTGAAGCTAGGATTCAAAGTCAAAGTCAAGCAGTCTGGCTCCAGAGGTCATACAATTAACAAATATTTATTCTGTTTCCTTGTTTCCTGGAAATTTGGCTAACATTTGGCTCAAATCAAGTCATTCAACTACAAATTTTTAGCTTTCCAGGAAAAAAGACCTTGATAGTTTCTGATTTAAAAAATTAATGTCTAGTTTTATTGCATAATAATTACTGTTTGATTTTTCCCTTAAAAAATATTTTTAATGTTTATTTACTTTGAGAGAGACAGACAGACAGACAGAGGCATGAGTGGGGCAAGGGTCAGAGAAAGAGGGAGACACAGAATCTGAAGCAGGGTCCAGGCTCTGAGCTGTCAGCACAGAGCCCAATGCAGGGCTCAAACCCACAAACTGTGAGATCATGACCTGAGCCAAAGTCAGACACTTCGCCAACTGAGCCATCCAGGTGCCCCAAGTTTGATTTTTTTTTCTTACTTTGTTTTGGGAATTTATTGATTTTTTTCACCCTAATATATGTCAGTTTTTGGGATTGATCCATTGGCACTTCACAAAAGCAAGTATTGTCCAATACCAGGTACATACGTCTGCCTTAGTGTTAATGCTGTTTAAGGTTTTAACACCATTTAAGTTGGTCCATTTCTTCTGTCTTGCACTAAGTAAGGTAAAAGGGGTCCTGAACATCCAGTTGCAGTGTATGTTCCAGTTTCCCCATACCAGTACCACCACCAGTGCTCGGAACACCACGATGTCTGAGAATTCAGCTCATTTCTGGAACTATCTACCTGGAGATACCATCAGATCCTACATGTTAAAGGGTCAAGACTGCCACGCCCACCACACCTCTGATGCCTAGACCCCACCCCATACTTGCCTGTACTTCTGACCAACTGGCTATAAATCAGAGGTTACCTCTACCCCTTCCTTCAGTGTGACTAATTTACTAGAATATGTCACAGAACTCAGAAAACATTTCACTTACTAGATCTCCGTTTTTTATAAAGGGATATGACTCAGAAACAGCCAGATGGAAAAAAAAAAAATGCATAGGGCAAGGTAGAGAGAATGTGTGCAAAGCTTCCTGGCCCTCCCTCGGGTGCACCGCTTCCCCAACACCGCAACCTGGCTCTCCCTGGGCACACCCCTCTCCCAGCACCCCAGTGTGTTCACAGACTTAAGAGCTCTTCAAACGCACTCTGCTCAGGCTTTTAGGAAGGCTTCATTACCCAAGCCTGAATGGTTAAACCATTGGCCTTTGGGAAATGACTCAACCTCCAGCCTGTCTTCCCCTCCCTTGGAGGTCAAGGGGTGGGAGTGAAAGTTCCAAACATACAATCAAGGGTTGATTTCTCTGGTTAATCACATTTAGGTGACTCCGGACTTTCCAAAAATCACATCGTTAACACAACAAAAGACACCTTTATTATTCTTATTTCTTAGGAGATTCCAAGGGTTTTAGGATCTCTATACCAGAAGTAGGGATGAAGACCAAATGTCTATTTCTTATTATAAATCATAGTATCATATACGATGACTTAAATTCTCATTTTTTAATATGATTCTTTCAACTTTTTTAAAGCTATGTGTTTAAATTTACTTTTCATCTAAAAGGTGATTTATATTTTGTCAAAGTTGAATCCATATTCATGACTACTGTATTTTCTGGGTGAAATTTAACCATGGGCATAATAAAAAGCCTTTCTGTGTACCTTTTACCCTTGAGTCTAATTTGTCTGATATAAAGATCCATGACCCCTACTTTCTGTCTGTATTTTGCTTGGTATTGTTTTGCTTGTTCTTTTACTATTAACTATTCTAGATCACTCTGTTTGAGACGGTTAAAAGAAAACTGGAGACACAGTAAAAATTGTAAGAGTTTATTTGAGCAAAAAATCGATTCGAATCAGGCAACATCCAATCTAGCCGATAGAAAGGAACTCCAAAATGAAAGACTTTTATAGGCAGAAGGGAACAAGAACAAGGAAATTATACTAGGCAAAAAAAATTGGGTTGATTATGGGGGTTACTTTCCTTTACATGATGGAAGGGGTCTATCAGCAGATAACTAGTACGGATCAGATGATTCCTGATTAACTGGTTTAAACCTCCATTTCTGAGAGTCTAAACACTAATTAAGTCTCTATTTAGTGACATGGAGTTTAGCATAAGATACTCCATTTAGGATCTGTTGTCTTGTTTTTAACAAGGTATCTCATATATAATCTTGATACTAAAAATATATGTTGAGGATTTTAGACTTTCCTTGCTTGGCAGATACAACTTTAAGAAAATCAATAAAGTTACAAAGATCCCTGAGGCAGAATTGGCTGACTGACTTAATTAGGTCTAGTTTCAACTGAGGGGTGGCCTGGGAGGTAGAGTATGTCAGAGCTACAGAAGTGTGAGAAGCTCTTGGGGCTCAGTTGTGGCTGTAGCATGCCCATTGGAAGCCAGCATCATGATTCAGAGGCCTATTTTGAGGATGAATAGGCTCAGATTCTCAGCATCATCCAATGTTGCCCCAAATTATTGTGGGGGAAACATCATAAACAAGCAGCACCATGGATCTAGGCCAAGGCCAAGACCAAAGACCTTTCCATGTTCAGGAGTGTGCTGAGATTCCCTGAGAAGTACTACAATGTACTGCAGCAGCTGTTGGGAGCCACTATGAGTCCTGGTTGTCATAGTAGGAGACAGTATCTGGCATCTTTGGTAATGTGTCTTTTCTAGCAGATAAAGCACCTCCAGGTCAGGCTCAGTCCAGAGTTGTTGGCTGGAAGCTTCTGTGGTTCCTGGGATTGAGGGTCAGATACAGCCATACTGGGCAAAATCTTCAATAGTCATGAGCTCAAAGGCTGAATATCTTCCATAGTTGGTGAACACATCCCAGGACTCAAAAAGGGCAACTGTCTCGGTCTTGAACCCCAGAGGATCACAGTCGGAGAGGCAAGAGAGGCTGGCAACTGGAGCTGGGGTCAGACTCACGGAGGCATAAGTGTGGTCCATTGATACAACCTCAGAGGGGCTCGCAGGGGCCTTGCAATCCCCATCAGAGTCCTTGGGGAATCTTCTCAGAGTCCCAGTGACACTGGGGCGAGTCAGTGGGACATTGTCAGAGAAGTTGACTGTGATGTTGTCCAGGGATAACAGGCAAGGGCCTGGGTGCATCAGATTCTCCGGATCCAATGGGGGCCCTAAGGGTTGAAGATCAGGAGCACAACGGCACCCAGAAGCTTTAGCATCAAACAGGTATCCAGGGCTCTGCGGTGCAGGATTGTCCATGAACCGTCCATTCATAGGCAGGGGAGCAGCGTCTGAGTGCTGGGCTGTGTGCCCTGTTCCCACCGAGTGGCGCCTCTTGGCCCGAGCCTTGATGCTGGGCCCCAGAGCCCCTTGTTCCCGAGGACGACGACCAGGACCACATCTGCCAGTTGAGGGATGAACACCTGGGGCAGAGGGAATAGGGGTCGGTGGTCGGGTGGGGCCAGGCTCCTGGGAAGTGCAGCCCGGGACAAGCCCAGACCGGGCATCGGAGGAAGAACTCTGTGTCGGCATGGAGCATGGGGGTGCCAGGCACATTGGGGTGCAACGGCCAGTCCTACGGCTAGCAGCCACAGGCCGAGGGGTGCGTGCAGCCCTGCGGGGAGGGAGGTGCCTCAGGCCCAGGGAGGCTCTCCGGGGGACTTGGACCTCCCTCCAGGCGCTGAGCTCCCCCTTGTCTGGCGAGGCGGGCTCCGTGTGGTCCACAGCAGCCCGGTCCTGCCCGCGCTTCCACAGCTCGTAGCGCTCAGGCTGCAGGATGCGCACGAAGGCGTCCATGGAGAAGGTGACCCTGGCCTCCCCGCAGCTGCACTGAGATGCCACTTTGCCATAATCGATCCATCGCGGGGTGGCGAAGTTGATGGCTTCTGCGCAGTTGAAGCCGTGGTTGAAACCAGAGTGGTAGCCATAGGGAAACGTCACCATGAACTCGCCGGCCTCCTGAGTGATCCGACTGAAGGGGATCCCGTTGTCCTTGAGGACAGTGGGGGAGATGAGAGCCACCTTGTGCCGCAGGAAGGCGTCACAGGCGCGGGCACTGCCCGGGAACAGCTGGGCGGCCAGGCGCTCCAGGCCCTCGCCATGCTCTGGCGGCACCACGTACCAAGTTTTGGGCTCCCCGAAGTGCAGGTAGTTGATGCTGTAAAGGTCCATGTCCTCCGTGTGCCAGGCGAAGGTGGTCTTCCACATGCCAAAGTACAGGTAGGGCGTGTTGACGCCCTCGATGACCACGCCGCACTCCTGCTCCAGCAGGTCCTGGATGGTTCCCAGGTGGCCAAGGTTCCACTGCTGAGTGCTTTCATCAAACAAGGAGCCGCTGATGTCAGCGCCATAAATCGGAGAATCGTAGAGGCGGGTCTTCCAATATTTTCGCTCCAAATCCTCAAAATCAGAATGAAAAGGAGACAAATAATTAAAGCTAATTGCCATTTGGCGGTACTCCCCCACTGTCATGGCTTTCTTCTTCTTATGGTATTGAGTAAACACGCCTGCCCGCCCAGAGACCACCTGCTGGAGGGGGCTTGCTATTAAGATGTCACTGACATCATCATAGGTGTGTCTGGCTTTCCAGTCCTTGGGGGGAATCACTTTGGCCAGGCCTGCGCGATGTGCACCTTGGGATTCCATGTATGCAATATATTTGTTGAAATCTTTAAATTCTTCCGTGGTTGGGTAGAAGGTCATGATTGTATAACTTGGGTTCTGGGGACCATACTGCCTAGGCCTCATGGCTGAAATGGAATAAGCAACTAACTCCCAGTTTCTCAGGTATGTTTTAGATACTTGAGGAAGCAGGGGGTAATATAATTCCTTCTCTAGTCGTTCTTTATTTTTCAAACAAGCTGTGGCATGTGTGTGAAGCCGATATTCAGACTTGCAATCTTAAACAAATGAAGTGATATCTCTTCCAGTCTTGCTGTTCTAGGGGAGGGGGCTGCCGCTCTGGGCGTTGAACCCGAAGGAAATAGCGTGTTACCCAGGGGAGCACGCCCTCCAGGCCGACTCCTGCCTCAGCCTGCAGTTCTGATGCTTCCTCAGTTGGAGCCGAGCCTCTGGGGGTTCTCCTGATGCCCTTGCCTCCGTGCGCGAGTGGCTCCGTCCCTCACTGGAGCAGAGAGCCTCTTCAAGAAAGTTGGAAGGCTAAATCTAAAGGAAAGAACACAGAAGATTTGAAAATAAAGGAAAGACAAAAGAAACACTAATTCAGCATCCAAGTAAAGAAAATTGGTATAACGATGTTAACTTCCAATTGGAATTTCCGTGCAAAAACTGCACTGTTGGTAGGAATGTAAATTGATGTAGCTACTACTATGGAAAATAGTATGGAGGATCCCCAAAAATTCAGTAGAGCTACCATATGATCTAGGAAGCCAACTTCCTGGAATATACCCGAAGGAAAGTGAAAACAGAGTACGGAGGAGATGTTTGTGCCCCACACTTATTGCGGTTCTATTCACAATAATAAGATATGGACACACCCTGTGTATATCCATTCATGAATGGATTAAGAAAAAGTAGTATATATACAACGGACTATTACTCAGCCATAAGAAAGAATGAGATTTTCCCATTTGCAACATGAGTAGACCTAGTGAGTGAACTATGGTAAAATGAAATAAGCAAAGACAAATGCCATATAATGTCACTCACATGTGGAATTTAGGAAACAAAACACATGAACAAACAAAGAGAAAAAATTTATACAAAAAAACAGGCTCCTAAATACAGAGGACAAACTGGTAGGCACCAGAAGGAGGTGGATAGGGAGATGGGTGAAATAGGTGACAGGGATTAAAGAGCACATTTACCATGATGAGCACTGAGTAATGCATAGAATTGCTGAATCATTATATATACACCTGAAACCAATATAACACTATGTTAATCTTTAATTAAAAAATAATTCTCAACCTCCCCATTAAAAAAAAAAAAGATGTGACATGGTACCCACACACAAGGGAATATCAGTCAGTCATAAGAAAGATGCCAATCCACTCTACACATTCAATGCAATTCCAATCAAAATTGCACCAGCATACTTCTCAAAGCTAGAACAAACTATCCAAAAATTTGTATGGAACCACAAAAGACCCCGAATAGCCAAAGTAATACTGAAAAATAAAACCAAAACGGGAGGTATCACCATCCCAGACTTCAGCCTCTACTACAAAGCTGTCATCCTCAAGACAGTATGGTATTGGCACAAAAACAGACACATAGACCAATGGAACAGAATTGAGAAC